AGTGGTGCCAACAATAAGGATCTGGACAAGATCGAAAGTGCACCTGCTGCAGACGAGTAAGTTTCAAGTGGCAATGAAAAATAAAACTGGTAATAAAAAATGTATCTATCCAGGATTAGGAATCAAATGTGCAGCAGTTCCTTCAACTGTGGGCCGAGTACCTCTCGCCAAAGCTGTCAGACAATTATTGAGCGCTATGAGGATCAAAATAGGAGAGGACTCGAGCCCCTTGAACATCCAAGCGACACCGATGAACACCAAACGTTGAAGCACACCGTCCTCTTGATCATCCTGCTCTGCTCCATGTTTGTCGGCCTGGCGGTGTCCATTTGGACTCTAGTGATGGAGGGAATGTCGGGCATATATCTGGAACTCAGTTTTCTCGATGCTTTCCTCAACTTTGGCCAAGGTTTGATTGTTCTGGCCGTGTTCATAACCGACATAGGCGAGCTACTAATGCCGGTTGTAAAACTTTGGCGCAAATTATGGTGAGTTCTGAATCATTATACCAACTTTTCTTATTTAATGTATAATATTTTTTTCGTTAAAGGTATGGAGCCAATGTGGTTAGCCTACCCCACTGGTCAAACGTGCGACCCGAAACCAAACATATTTGCGAACAGTTCCGCAATCATCACTTGGAAAACTGCAAAAAGGATATTGCCAAGGACAGAAGGTGGGCAAAATCAAGACATGAAGAGTTCTTCAGTTATGAAAATATAGGAAATCTTGTAGAAATTTGCTTAGTCCAGTTACTCTTATGAACACAGTAATAGGAATGATTTTTTGGATGACAATAATTTTTAATTTCAACCAAACTAAGTAAGTGTTTTCAAGTTAATTAAATTGAGAATCAGTCGGTAGACACGTTTGCATATGTTTTTTAAAATTAATAATTATACCAGTATATCTAGCTGATTTTGTCATAACTTACTAAAGAACTTTCGTGATCTTTGCAGGTGGCGCATTCGCGTGTATCGCAAGGTGTTCTACGGCACCGAGTTCGTCAGCTGGCTTATCGAGGTGGGCCTGTCCAAGGACCGCATGGAGGCTGTGCACTACGCCAGGCATCTGGTCGATGGCAGGGTCTTGCGACACATCAACAACGTTTATCACTTCGAGGATAAACTGCTGCTCTACAATTTCTGCAGTCGCATCTAAGGGCAGCTACAACCGAGATGAAGCAACTACGCCAAATTTAGTTTGATTTCCTGTTTAGTTTATCATATATATTGTATGTAATTTTGACTGCTGTGATTGTAGGCCAAACAAACACGCACACACAATGCAGCCAATTGTGTGTGTGTGTGTGTGTGTGTGTGACGGTGGATGACGAGTGGGAGGATGAGCTAGTGAATTTGTTTATAATGTCCAAGTAATTTACTTGGCACACGAAAGTTTATTTTTTAAATGTTTATTACTAAGTAGTTGACTCAGCTGGCAGTGGCAGGGGGGCTATCAGCTTGAGCTTTAAATAGTGCAATATAGAATACTGAATGCAAAAGAGGATACAAGTTTCCTAAAAATTATAAATAACTTTGTACTTTAAATATAATCCTGTGTCACAACTAAAAAAGAAAAGAAAACTGTGCATAAAACGCTATAAACGAATATATCTTGAGATACACACCTAGTTTAGTGAAATCCCATAAATAAATATATATATATATATATATATACATGCATATATACCTCAAGCCGCGAGGCCCAAAGAACAAAACATTTACCATGCATTTGTGTCGCATTCGAATTCAATCTTAATTTGCATTGTTTTCTTTCAATTTCAACACAGCCTTTTGATATCTGTTGTTTTGTTGCCAGCCAGCCATCCGAATCTTTGGCTATAGACATTTTCGATCGGCTTTTGGTCTTGCACGCGTCGATCAATCTGCGTTTTGCGTGTTTGAAATATCAATCCCCCTTAATTCCGGACACCGGCAACTCTATTAATTGTTCGCCAGCCCATCTTCGATTTAATATTCTGCCAACGATGTGGAGAGCTGATTTTTGGTATGCGCCTGTCTCCCATAAACATTCCCGGAGAGAAGACTCGATGCTTCTCTGATCAAGAATCGTCAAACCATTGAAGTGCTGGATTGTTTGTCATGCTAAATGCAAGTGATTGTAAAATGCACTGGCACACTGTCAACCAATAGTCTTCGATCTTTGCAGTTCGATGGGTGTATATAGAAATTGACTCACGGGTGGTTCAAGTCAAGTACGTCCATCCAATAGTTAGAACCATTATATTTATTGACCACCAGCTATGCTAACATTTACTTTAACCCCTGAGGAAAGTGGGAGATATCAGGGACAGCCTAGCTCAATTTTTCGCAATGCAGTCTCAAGGTCTTTAAAATCCCTATCGTTTAATTGCAATTTCACCATGAGTTCAATAATCATATAATCATATGTCACTGCAGGAGTGAGTCACCAAAGGGAAGTTCACGCGCCAAGGGAGTGCCATTTTTAAGGGACTTACAATTGCATGGGAAATACTCTTATACCCATATGTCCTACTTTTTAATCTACTTTGCTGTGTTTTCCATAGTTAAGTTGACCGTTTTCAACTCAAAACGTTTTAAAATTAAATGAAATTCAGTAATATATTAAAATAAAAATATTTATTTATTTATTCCTTATTTAAGGAATTAAAAAAAAATAAATTGTGGTTTGATTCCTTCAATAAATTTTATTTTTAATAAATATTTTTATACAAACGAAAAAGTAAATTTGACGAGCATGCTTAAAAGAAAAATCACTAAAAGTTTTAAAGGACTAGACATTTTTAAAAATGCTTATAGTAGCATAGAGCAATTAAAGGTCGATAATGAAACTTTTTCGGGGATTATATCTTCTGTTTATTTTCATATGTTGTACAACATTGTTTACGTTATAAGTCCACAAATATATAAGTTTACCTAAGTATTTCCGCGACTCTTTTACAACCTTATCTTTATTGACAGATTAATCACATTTACCAGAACGCCGTTGTAGATTTGAAACTAATTGGTCAAAACAAAAAGTGCAATATATAGTTGAATGGGAGTCATGAGACAAGCACCCTGCCATGACCTCATACCTCAAGTGTCCAAAATGCTGGCCCATTAATCAGCCGCTTTATGACTGAGGAGCGCTCACTGAATAAGTGCAAATAGTGCGTTATTATTTATTCATTTAATTTTGCAAAAACGCGCAAAAGAGGGTCAGAGGTCAGTCAACCCTTGAGCCACCGAAAAGTAATTTTTATTTGTCCCAGCCATCCAATCCACCCCACGAAGTGGAGAACGAAATATATGGCAGGCTGTCGACGTTGCTTTGGGCATCCAATTTCGAGGCGTACAATTAATAGACAGCAAACCAATTCTGGTGACGCTTAACGAGGATATCAAGGGACACCCAATTCTAGGGCAGCATTCACATTTCGTGTTTTGTTGCCTTTCGGGGAATTAACTAAAAATAGAATAGCCGCATGACGTCTGTAGGAGGCGATGGAATGATACTTAAACCACAATTTCACACCACAAGGACGACACCAGCCCCCACAGCCGCAGGCTCGTTAATTTCATCCAGCTGTGGATGTATCATTTTATTTCCAGTTCCTCATACGCCCCGTTGTCGCCACAACAAAGACCACCCATCCAGTGCCCATCCATTCCAACAACCCAAAACGGATCATCACATTGCCGATTGGCGGCTTCCGCTTTGTTTCGCCGAATGCCTAATTTCCCACTTAAAATGCCAGTATGCGAGCCTCTTATTTTCAATATTAACTTTCCAAATACAAATTTCATATACAATTTTAATTATTTTGATTTTATAATTTCTTTGAAGAATTTTCTTTCGAAATTCCTATTACAGCTACCAGTTAAGAGAATCCATTAATACAATTTTCAAAATCTCGATTGTTAATTATTAATGGAACGCCGAAAACTCTGAAAAAAGCATTACGCATAGTTTTTAGTGTACTCTTACTCAAATGCACTATCTTAAATTGTTTCATAAATTTGAGTAACATGAATAAGAATTTTTTTAAAAAACAAAATTTTTATTTGGTTAATATATTTTTATCTCTGTAGAATGCACTGTTTCTAAAACACAAACCCAATTCGAGTGTTAGTAATCAAAAAGTCGAGTCATGGGAAATGTCATGTTGAGTTATCAAATAAACTTTATATGAATCTCAACAAACAATTCGTAATTATTATTATTTCTTAACGGCAAAAAAAGCTTTCTCTTAGACTTATTCATTAATAAAAATTTAGTTTTGCTTTGTGGCCAGAGGATAAAAAAACCTTTTGTGCTTAGTTACCATAATTAAAAAAAAGGGAATTCATATTTTTTTTGAATAAACTTAAACTTGAAGTGCGAATTTCTTGACAGCCACAATTTGTTTCTTAAATGTAATATTTCCCAAATTACATTTTTTTTCTTATTTTAAATTAAAAGCATTTTAGCAAAGAGGTAATTAATTTTCGTGATTTAAGTTAAAACTTTATAGCAACGAGTTTTTTAATTTTGGTATTTTACAAATCAAAAGTATATAACTACGATACATCGACTTCAAATTGATATTCTATTTGATAGGGTATAAAACAATAAAATTTGTCGTGCTATTTTGACCGTTCGCACACGTCCAAAGGCGCTGGCACGAGCTGTGCATTTTCGATGGGGTAGTTTGCCAGTGGGTGTGAGTGCTGGTGTTGGTGTGGGTGTGAGTCGGCTGCTTTGCGGTGTCTATATGCTATATGCTAGATGATGTATCCGATGTGGCCACCAACAGAGGCAGAGCCAGCCGAAGCCCCGAACACGAGCCGCCTTCCGATCCAGAGCCGAAGCCGAATGTTTGCCAACTGTTGAGCAAGGAACCATTCCCAGTGGCAACCAAAAGTAACCCCTCTCCGATCCGATCTGCCCAACCAACCACCCACTTATATAGCTTGGAGCTATAGGCGGCAACAGCAGCAGCAGCAGCAGCCGACAAATGCGCTGCTCGGCGCAGTAGTCATTCTAAATCGACGCCTGGCTGACTGCAGACGCGCTCCTCGGATCGAAATCGAATTCGAATACGCCATCGTATCGGTCGGTTCAATCAAGTGTCGGGCGCTCTAATCATTAATTAAGTGTCTTAAGAAAATAATTCCAATTTGGCTATCGAAACGGGTTTCCATCTACTGCATGTGCGAGTGACTATGTTTTTGCGGTAGGCTCATTTGTGAAAAAAGAAAAATCGTTTGCAGCCAGTTAGATTTTCACCTGAATTGCAATCGAGTGTAATTATCACACCGGCAGTATGGAGATGGAGACCACAACAGCAGCAGCTGTGATGCTGGCAAATGCAACTTCTGCGACCATTCCAAGTGCCCTCTATGCAAATCGCAACCGATTGATCTTTGGGGCCATTGTCATGGTTTTGGGGGTTTTCGGCAATTCCCTGGCTCTCTTTATTTTGGCGCGCAAAAAGCACAACAAAAACAGCAAATACACGCTCATGTTGCGGTAAGTCCAAACTACATAAAAAAAAATATATATAAAAAAATAATATTAATATTATTTATATTACATTCTGAAAAACAAAAATCTGAGAAGTATATAAAACAAATTTAAACACTTGTAAATGCTAACAAGCTTAGTTTTGTTTGCTTAAAACATCGTAAACTTAAATCGTTGAGGTATACTGACAATAAGCCAACGTTTTATTTATTCTGCTTAATGTTGTTGAAGAATAATCAATAAACAACCCATAATGGTTGTGGTTTTATAATTCAAATTTGTGTAAATCATGAAATGAAAAACATAGTTTTTATTTTTTGGTTAAACATTTTTTAAATCTTTCCAAGCCAAAATGTCACACCAAATACCAGTAGTTGTTGCCTATTTTCTTTGCGTGTAGCTACTCAGTTTATGCACTTTATGTTTGTGACTGTTTTGTGGCCAGTTCATGGCTATGTAAGTTTATTCAACCTGCTCTCAACTGCGGCCACTATAGTGTTCGATAATATACCTATGCGGGCCTGATTTACATAGTTTGAATTGTTTTGCTTTGCTCGTGGTTTTTTGCATATCTTATCAAATTACGGAATAAGTCCATTGGCAGTGAGATTTGCCCATATTCCTCTCTGTTTTACACAATCTTATCGGCGACGTGGGAATGCAATTATTGCGAATGCATTAAAAGCTTTACGGTGTAAACTTAAGACAGAGATTAGTGTTCAGTCAACTAGGGATATGGACTTCCATAAAAAAAATGTGATACTCAAGATTTTCTTATGTTTTTATTAGCTCTGTTTAGTTGCACAAATTTCAATAACAAATCATTCGTTAATATATACTTTTAAAAATAAACTTCAATACCATTTTTATTGACTTCATTTAAAATTTCCCATTAATGGTTCTTACAACTTACGACTTCACTTTTGTTAAATAAGTTAACTACTTCTATACTTGTTATTTTTGTCATTATATGCAAAAAACAGACTTGAGGTTAAATATAGAAATGAACGTACATAATTCGAAAGGGTGTTTTTACTTGTTTTTAGTTGAACCTTATCAAGTGAGAAAAAGTTATTTATGACACACAGCTAAATTCTCCAAGTTCGTATGCCAAAAATTTGTCACAATTTATATTTCATTTATCAGCGTTTGAAGCCCTTGGCAGTTTCACTGAGCTTTTGCTCCTTTCGCTTTATTTTATGCTGAGGCGACAGTGCGTATGCGTAATATGCGCAAATTGCTGTCGCCAGCAATTTGAGCCATCAAGGGAGTAGAGTACAAATTAAGGCGAATTCCGCTTCAAACATGAGGCCTCCTTTTGGCAGAGCCTTTGATCTGTAATTTGATTGATTGAACGAGCCCGGTGATTGGCACTTGAGAAGTGTCGATAAATCAGGGTAACCCAATGACATAATTGGCACCCTTATTGCTTTTTGCCCCTTCAAGAAAACCGGAATGGCTGTGAAAATATGTATTTCCCCATTGCACAAATAAACAAACAATGAGTTTGCTTTTACAAGTCAACAACACAATTTTGCAATTTTCATTGCAAGTCGAATATTTAGTCATTTTCGGCCAGTAATGAACTGTTTCGGAGCTTTTGTTTTCTGTGAAACGTTTACAATGCACCATAAATTGAACTTTTAATAGTTTTTTGAACTAGAAACAGGTATATAGGTATACATGCAACTAATGAAAATAAAAATGTATAAAAGCATGGCCCTGCTTAACAACTAGCCGAGCCTTTCGACCCACCCACAAACGCTGGGAATTGTCAATCCCATTTCGCATTCTATTAAAGCAAGCATTTTCATTAATTTCCACTGAAAAGGCCCTACTTCTAAGTATATATTTTTGTCTCACCCAAAGACAAATGAGTTTCCTGTGTCGACGGCGCCCCAAAAACAATCAAACCGAAATACACAAGTATTTTCCACAAATGCAATATTTTACGATCCCAATAAAAAGGAAATACTTAATCAAACTCACTATTGACAGGCACATATTTCACAGAGCATACTAACTGATGGCTAGATAAGTTTAATTTAGGCAGATTAGTTCCGTTCATATATTTTGCCATCATTTTTAGGCACAATACTGAAATAGGTAAAATGGTATATTAAAATAATGTAATTAAATTTGTAACTGACATTCTTGCATTTTTATTTTGTATCCATTCTTATAATAAAGTATTTTAATAATATGAAAAGCTACTTTTTATTTTGTAAGCATATTAAGTCGGCTGTCTGACCAATTAGTCCTAAAATATTAATAAATTGTAAAAGGACTTATAAACATATTTTTCGGCATAGAAACTTCCCTTATGGTTATGGTCTTTTGTTTGTTATAATTCAATTCAAAATAAATTATACAATTTTATTTTAAAGGTGATTAAAATTCGAGTCACGTCGTAGGCTACCAAAATTGGTAGCAACCCAACCATATGGGGCAGCTTAAAGTTATCTTTATTGAAAGTTTCCCCTTATCAAAGTGGCAATTAATTAAAAACACTTCGATATTATTGTACAATTTATTGTTCCTTTTTCTCTTATTCGTGGTTTATGTACTGTAGAACTCAATGATTAATTGGCAATTTAACGCAAATGGAGCGCAAATATTTTAGTATCCAGTTTATGTAAAAGCTTAAACATCTTAAATTTGTGGCAATATTTTCTATTTCAGCTGCCTGGCCACCAACAATCTGGTGGCTTTGCTGGGGATGCTAACCACAACGCTGTTGAAGATCTACCTCTCGAAGGAGGTCCTGCAGTCCTTTGTGCGAATGGACTGTGTGGGGCATGTGGTGTGGCGATTCTTTGGCCTCAGCTCCGGGTGCATTGCAGCAGTCATGGCGGCGGAAAGATGGATGGCCCTGGCCAGACCCTTTATTTACCACAAGGTAAGGTTCTAACTTTCTATGTATAAAAGATTGTTATTAGACAAGAAAAGTGTATTTACCCGTGCAGACATTTAAATGATATGATGATTTTCAGTTCAATTTTTTAAACTATCCTATTGTTTCCGATTTTAATTAATATCTAATAGAAATAACAAAATTAAAAAATAGTGATGATAATATTTTTTCATTTATTTTTTTATATTCCGATTGTTGCCACTAAAAAAATACCCTGTTTTTATGGGTAGTAGAGTGTAATTCTTTTTTTGAATATAACAAAATATTTTTTATACTTACCCATTTTTTACAACGTAAAATGTATTGTGTGCAATGCACATTGTGAACCCTTTTAATTTTTTTTTTCAAAAACTGTTTAGAAATTATTTGTATGGGTAAAGAATTACACTTTCATTATTTGAATATAGAAAGTTAGATAATTGGTATAATGGAAATCACGCGCCTTACAAATCACTCATCTAATGGTTATAAATCTCGCCCAAAAGCACATCACCTACGAGCTGATACGCAAGAGCATCAACAGCATACTGATTGTGGCCGTGATCATCACGTTCCTGCCATTTGTTGGGTTTGGCGCCTACATCGATGAATCGAATCCGGAACAGCTTAAGTGCATACGATATCGCGATGCGCAGGGTGTGTGGAACAAGTCGTATGCGGTGCTCTTTATGGTCTTTGGTAATGTTCTCGCCGTCGCCAGTTATATGGCCCAACTAATTCAACAATCGATTTTATTCAGGCACCCTATTGTGCATCGTGATAGTGGCCTGCAACCTATTCGTGGCCCACACACTGCTCTGTGTGATTGGACGGAGTCGAACGGCCAAGCGACACATGCACTATGACCTGGTCAAAGACAAGGCCAGTACGATTAGCATTGATCCGGAGAGCAGCAGCGGCACCACTCTCTATCAGACACAGCTCAGTTCCGGAAGCGGAAGTAGCCATCGCAGTGTCCAGCCAACGAGGCAGTTCCGGCACAGCGTCAGTGTTACAATGGCGGCCACGGACTCCTCACCCGTGGAGATCAAGTTCGCCAAGCTGATGGCCTTCCTTAGCATCTCCTTTGTCATCTGCTGGATGCCACAAATGGTAGGTTCTCCAAGAAAAATACACATTTTCTGCTTTCATAGAGGTAATACTCAATTTATTCAAGTTAAAGTTTAAAGTCATACTTATTTAAAAAATAGTTATATATGGCTCTTCCTAGTTCATTAAAGAAATAAAATATTTAAATTTAATATGGTAAAATCCTGGGCATTTTTTAAAGTTAATTTTATTTAAACAATAAGAGGGTTTACTTTTATTAATTAAAGAAACTCATTTATTCTCTTGTTATTGTTAGTAATTCTTTATATTTTGTAGACATCCATTTCGTGATAAAGTCAAAATAAGGTTTCATTGTTAGATATTTAATTATGAAAATAATTATTTTAAAATGTCTTCATTCTAAAATTTATTTCTGTATGATTTGCTTTGATTTCATTTATGAAAAAGTATTTAACATGGACAAGGAATTCCTTCCGATCCAATTCATTTTACACAATTTGTATTAGATTCATAGCCAAAGTATTTTTTTCTTTTAAATTTCCTCTCATATTCCGAATTTCATATTGATCGCACAATTTTACGGTATGCAATCATATTTGCAAACTGAGGTGCGGCGGATATATATTGTGTTGCAGCAGTCGACTATATCAATCTTGTTTATTTCAAAATTGTTTTCGAATTTCTTTGAAGATCGCCATCCCGTTGGCCATTGCTCCAGATCGGGTGCCCGCATCGAATAAATTCTTCATCATCGCCGACGTGCTCACAGCTCTGCACTTCACCTCGGATCCGTATGTCTACGTGCTGAGTCGCTCCAAGTCCATCAACTGGTCGTTGCTCAGTTGCATCAAGCGCTGGCGCAGCGGCTGGCGTCCGGGCGGACTTCGCCGGTCTCAGAGCGATCAGAGCCGGATGCGAACCACGATGACGGAGGCGAATACTCTGGACTTCAACTGATACCGCTGGATCCTCAACAGGCACCCAAGTACTTAACCCCTTCTCGGTGGGGTCTCACTCATCTTTATGCTCCGCCTACCTTCGAACACTCGAAGGAGAAGCATCTCCTAGTCGCTTAAGTTGTAAATAATACATATATGTACCCTATTTGTATGACATCATATCAAGGTTTTCCTTATACGCTCAGCTCACATAATCTCTGAATCGAAATGCGATTTGTGGCATAAAATATACCGCATATGTACCTATGTGTAAATGTATAATAAAGTGTCTAATTTATTTGGATTTTAGGGGTTTGGGTTTGCGAAATTACATAAATTAAATTCGTATTCTACAAAAACATTTACAATTGCTAAAAAGTTTTCAATAGTCTGCCTTGTCTAACTTATTTTTCCATATTGTTTTTACAAATCATTGACCTAAGTTAAAACATGCAACAATTGATCATATAAAATGTATAAACAAAAACCGCATCATCCAGGAAGTGGCCACTGCATCTCATTGCCCAGCACAGCTTTAAGGTAAATTTCCATTTCCCAATGCAAACAGAAAGGTTATTTGTTTTACAACTACTTTTGTTTCTTTGTTTATTTTAAAAATTGTATGATTACATAAGCTGAATGATTGGTGGTCGGCTGGTATGGTGTATGCAGAGCTAGGATGGGGGAATTGGTAGTAATTCATGTGGAATCGATTCAATCAAGTTGTCTGTCTGTATTCTCCCACTCGTCACAGTATCAAGAATTTCGTCTTCAGTTACAATGTAGTCAACTGTTTCAACGTAAAGTTGCTTGTCCTCTTGGTTTCCTTTCATTCAGTGTATATGCAAATTGGGATGCAAATGTCAAATTGCGGGAAGAGATCGTTTGATCTGTTCTTCATCCTCCTCCTGGGCGTGAATGTATGTATATATATTTTTTTCTTGTATAGAGTTTAAGTGTATGTTAAGTTAAGCTACGAAATCCGCCGACGTCCACTTAGTAGCGGTTGTAGCGGCCGCGAGCGCGTTGGCGCTGCGGCGTGGCCTTCGGACCGGCGGCGGCCCGAGCGGGCGTTGCCTTCTTGGCCGGCGACGGCGAGGCATCTGGCGTCGATGGGGCGGCAGCGGTGGGCGTGGCCGGAGCGGCTGCCTTTACCGCGGCCTTGGCTGGCGTCTTGGCCACGGGAGCTGGTTCAACGGGTGCCGGCGCCTTGGCCGGAGTGGGCTCCGGTTCGGGCTCTGGCTCGGCCTCCTGCTCCTCATCCTGGGCCTCCATCTCTTCCTCGCCATTGTCCTGGCCAGCGCCATCATCCTCGCCCTCACCCTCGATCTCCTCGTCGCCTTCGCCTTCACCCTCGCCCTCGGCATTGTCCTCCACCATCTCGATGTCATCGTCGTCGCCGGTGGCCTCCGATGGATCGTATAGCTCACCCTCGGCTCCCTCGGCGGTCTCCTCGGCGGCGGCGTTGTCAGCGGCCGGGGTCTCAGTCTCCTCCACCTTGCGCTTCTTGCGCTCGTTCTCCTCCAGAGCGGCGGCGGCACGCTTCTGGGCAATCTTGGTGTCACTCGACTTCTCGTTGATGAACTTCAGGAAGTTGCGGTGATGGGTGGCCGTGCGCGAGTGTATCTCGGCGGTCACCTCGGTGTCGAAGAACTTGCTGCACACCGAGCACTCGTAGCACTCCAGCTTGGAGATCAGGCCGGGGCCGACGGCCCGCTGCCAGTTGTACTTGGGCAGGCGGGTGTCCACCTCGCTGGGAATCTCGTCGCCGTCGGTGAAATCGAGGATGCAGTCCTCGGGATCCACAGGCAGGGCCACCTCCTCCTCCTCCTGGCTCTCGTTGAGCTCCTCGCCCTCCTTGGTCTCATCGGCGGCCTCCTCACCCTCCTTGGCCTCTTCGCCCTCGCCTTCCTCGCCCTCGGCAGCCTCACCATCGCCGCCGGCACCATCCTTCTTGGCCTCGCCATCGGCGGCATCACCCTCCTTCTTCGCCGGCTTCTTCTTGCGCTTCTGGGGCAGACGGAGATCGCGGGTCTCCTCCTCCTCGGTGCTGATGGGCAGGGTTTGGCGCTTGCGCTCCCCCACCTTGGTGTTGCTTTCGGCGGCCTTCTTCAGATGCTCGGCCGAGAGAAGATGCGTGTCGAAGTCGATGCGAGTGGCGAACTCCTTGTTGCACTCAATGCACTTGGGGTGCAAGAACTTCTTCAGCTGCAAATGGCCCTCGGACTTGCGATGGGTCGAGATGTGACCATGGAAGTTCAGGTCGCACATGGTGCAGTAGTCCAGCTGGCGCTGCTTGCTCTTGCCCATGCGCTTCAAGCGATCGAACTCGATCGACTTCAGCTGCTCGGCGATCTTGGCCTCCTGGCGGATCATGTTGGCCTTGAGGCGGTAGCTCTCCTCAATGCCCTCGCGCATCATCAGATGGGTGCGTCCCTTGATGTGGTTCTCGAACGAGTTGGCGTCCCACATATGCTTCTTGCACAGATGACAGTAGAACATGTCGTTCGGCACACTAGCGTACGGCGACTCCTTGCTGGGGCTATAGAATTCGATCAGAGATCATTGATCATTTGTTACAGGGGGGGGAAAGGAATAGAGAAAGGTAAATCTATTAGTTGTGACATCTTGAATGCAAAGACGAGAATGCGTCTGTTCTGGCTCTAAGGAAGAGAATACAATATTAGAGGGGTAGAGAGTTGGATTTTGCTGCAATTTATACTTATGATACGTACAGTACAGATGGCGATAGATGAGTGAATGTCTTAGCTATGATTTTGATGCGTTATGAATGTAAGTATTAATGCATTGCAAGATAGAAATATGCCATAAATTTAACTGGTTTTAACACAAAAGTTGTCTTAAATAAAAGTCTAAGCCTTGATTATTTAGGCAATATACGATATTACGATACGGCATATTTCTTTCTCTTATGAAATCTTAAATGTACTATCAAAGTTTCATCCATAAATTGATTATTAAAAAATTATAGATGAATATTGAGCTTTACAAATTAAAAAGGAGAAACATATTTGCATTGTAAAACGTTAAAATCACAGAACGTTTCAAAACTAAATTGAAATGATTTATGCAAATGCTTTCAAAAGGAAAAAACTTCTTATTATAACATAATCTCTCCTTTTTAACTGGGAATAATAAGATTATAATGTACACAAAACGCAAAAAGTTTAGCCCAAACTTACATTTTCAAAACAATTTTTTTATATAATTGTATTAAAATAAAATGACATTCATGAATGGATATATATGTTTGGGTTCAATGTAGTTTGAACACATTAAGCTATAGATTCACAGTACCCTACCCAAATAGGCGTAGTCCCTCCCACATACACACAGTAACACTAACAGCATCAAAAAAAGCACTATCCCTAATGAAAGGCTAGTTCTAGTTAAATATACTTGTTTAGAGATGTATGAGGAAACTCGATTAGAGAATTGAAATGCCTAGGTACTTAAGTAAAACGGATTAAATTATATATATTTGCGCTGCTGAGTTCGGTTCTAATTTATTTTTGGTTTTAGTGAAAGAAATAGAATCCTTTCGATTTGGTGGTGGGCAGCAAAAAAATGTATTCTTTTTTGTTGTGGTTTTGGTTTGTTTGGAAAAGTTGTAGTAAGTCTTACCTCTCGATTTTCTTTTCGCCAGGAGTGGGTTCCTTCTTTTTATTTTGGTTGGCATTTTTAGCCAAAAGTTTCTTGGCACGATCAAAAGCATTTTGCTTGCGAATACCGCCGCCGCCCTGCTTTTGCGGGGGCTTGGGTCCACCACCAGTGGCGTTCCGATTTTGGAAGCCACCTCCCTGGCCACGACGGTTATTGAGACGATTGCCGGCACCGCCGCCGCGACTGACCATCTATATATATCGTTTAGTTTATCATTTATCATTTAGGATTAACAATAACATTTTTGCACAATTCCGAATGCACACATGATGGGGCATATTGTGAATTGATTTTGTTGTGGTTTACAAACAGAGGCAATATTCGTCGAGCATTTTCAAAAGATCAGAGACAATATGGCGGTTCGGCCATTTACAATGTTTTGTGGGGGGCGAAGCGATCAAATTGAACAGATAATTGATAATTGCAGGAGAAAATTCGTTACAGAAATGTATGGCAAACGTTAATATATAATTAAATATATATTTATAAAAATATAGTGACACATGAGCACATTGTATATTGATATTGGTCAGATCGACGGGGCAGTTGCGGCGGCCAATCAGTCGACGGGGATAGTTGGATATATATTGCATGTATATATTCGGTGGCGTGTGGCGGCGAGTGGCATTTGAAAATGGAAATCGGATTTTTTGAGTTTCAGAGGCAGGAACGTCGAAGAAGAATTGGCGATGAATTTGCATTAGACATTAGATATAAATAGGTATTACATATTGCGGTTTTAGATGTAATTATGTTGCACCATCAAGCAGTACCAGTACCAGATCGGATCAGTTTCGGTTTCAGAGCAGAGCAGATTAGAAGATTGCATTGCGATCAATAATATCAATCGGTCGAGCAATCGGTCAATCAATCAATCGATCAGTGGCGTCGCACGGGAAGCATCATATAGTATATAGTATCGCATCGTTGATGAAGATTCGCATATTGGCCATATTGAGTGTGCATCGCATGTGCGTGTGTGTTGAGTGTGTGTGCGTTGCATTTTTATACATTTAATTTTATTTTGATTTTCGAAAATATTGTTTGTTGGCCGTGAATGGAATTTATTTTTGGGTTGGGGAGAGATTTTCGTTGATTGCAATCAAATATTGCAAATGGGAAGAGTCAGCATCAACGGCAGCAACAACACGCAACAGCAACAACGACAGCAACAACGACAACAACAACAACAGCAGCAAGTAAATATGCCGGAGCATTACGGAATGCATTATTCGAAATATGCAAGACGATGCGGTTGCGATATTCGATATTTATAAGGTGTATTGAAAAGCATCGAATATTTGAGTTTGGCATTTTTGTTTTGGAAGAGAGAATAAAAATAGATAATGGATAAATTAGACAAGCGTAGTGGCAAATAGAGTCCAGCCAAGAAAAGTTTGGTTGACTTGACACTGGATTTTCGGATAATAATTGAATTATAATAATGGTAATAAGGTAATTAAATGCTTAAGTACATCTAGTAAGAAAATTATTGCATATAAATTACTTATGATTCAATCTTGACATATAGAGATCATCATCATACTCTTTTCATCGTTAAGTGGAACAAGTGTTGGCGGTACATGGTTTTATAGGTACATTTCGTTACCAATGCGGTGTGTATTATATAAACTTATCGTTTCTTTTTTCAGTATAATAATCTGTATCTTTTTCGTTTGTGCAGTATCTACAGAACTAAAAAAAAGTATTGCATTTTAAATGGAATAAATGCGTTTTTATTGAAAACCTCCGTCTACCACATCCATCTTCCTTTACATCCTTATTTCCTGACTACACTGCACAAAGTTCTCATTACTATTTTTACAATATTCTTTTGGCTAATTTGGTTATGTTTTCGTTTTTCTGTTGTTGGTTTAGTAAACTACAAGCTACGATTAGATTCAGGATTTGGATCATTGTTGTTTATCTCTTAAAGGAAAAGCATTAGCTACTTTGGCAATATAACAATCTAACTAAAGGAAAAATAAACACAAAATTTAAGGTTCTGTTGTGGAGTGCAAGCTGGGAGTATTTTTTGGAAATGGCTCTACTTACAAACTCGCGATGTTGGAAAAATATTATTAAAATCAGACTGCAAATAATTAAGAAGTATTTGCTATGTTTTATACTGATCTATTTTAGACAAAATCTTGGAATTTGATTCGTTCTATTATTATAAATGTGTGTTTGTTGACAATTCTGTTGTATTGTTGCAAGTTTGAAATATTTAAAAATTATAGAAATGTTTTGAATTCGGGATTCATAATAATATATAATACATAATATTCTTTTTTCATTAAACACTTTTTATCAGACAACTGTTTTCATTAAACGGAGCTATGTTTAAAAAATGAATTCCTTGTTTATTCTATTGCATCTCCACCACAAAAATCCGATTCGCAATACACACGAATCCCAAACGAACAATAATAATAATAACATAGAATATATAACAATTCATATAGGTTGGCTTTGTCAACTAGTTGGGGGAAAATTGAACTTTTGTACATACCGGGCCGCCGCGTTGGTTGCGATTTCCCATGCCGCCGCCGCCGCGGGGCAAATCGAGGAGCGAAGGTGGGTTCTGGTTCCTGAACAGGTTGTTCAGCAGATTGCTGGCCAGGTTGATGGCCTGGGCGTTCATCTGACCGCCGCCCTGGCGCATGTTGTTGCCAAATTGTCCGCCGCCGGGATTCTGGGACTCCCAGGGCGACATGTTCATACCGCCCATGCGGTTGGCGTTCATTGGTCCACCATAGTTGTTGTTGCCGCCTCCGAAATTGCGATTACGGTTCTGGTTACCACGGAAAGCCATGTTGCCGCCGTTGACCTTTTGGTTATTTGCTGAACGATTCTGTTGATTTCCGTTGACCTTTACGCTGCAAATAGATATAAGAAGTTTAATTATTTATTCATGTTATATTATATTTCGAAGAAGCGATTACAAAAATTATTTTTTTCCATGTTTCTAAGATTTTGGTTTTACTTTTATGATTTAAGGAGGTTTATGCTTTGAACTAATTAAACAGTCGACAAATACAGAACTCCTATATATAGTTAATGTTTTGTAAGAAAGAGAAGTTGTGTGTGTTTTTTTTTAATATTTACTTTTACCAACTTTTACAAAAACAAATGGTTAATATTAGACTAGTTACATTATATATATACTTTTATAATTGACATGTTCGCTATATTTTAAAAGGTGACGATTCGATTATCGTAAGCAATTCTTTGGAAAAATATATTTTTATAAACGGAAATCAGTCTGGATTTTAGAACAGGAGATACATAAATAATTAGGAATTTTTGGGGGTTGATGTGCAGCATACCTGACCATAATTTTGATGGATTTTTGGTTTGGTGGGAATGGGATGTGTTATGTAGGATCTTTATTTAAGCGAGCAAATAACTTAAAAGCTGAAAATAAAACGGCACAAAGGAAGAACGAAACATATATTAGGATGCAAGCGGAAATGTATTATTTTTGGTTAGTAAGCTCCTGAATCTTTTATTTTATTTTTTTTATTGAACCCCGTAAAAAACACAACTCGATCCAGCGTGCGTATACACACACAACAATTCATATACACACATACATACAGGCATTCAAAGAAAGGAAAGAAAAGGGGAAATAAAAAAGAAATGAGAATAGTTTTGGCGCTACAGTCAGCACTTTACATTATCAACTATTAAAACTGGTTTTTTCGCCACTAACACGTGAATTTGGACAAAAAAAAAGAGGCAAAATACTTTAAAATATATTCTCACGTAGTAATGAAAAAAGATGGCGGCCCCAGACAATGCGTGTGTATATGTAACTGATTGAGTCAGAAAAGCCGGCCGGCCATGTGGGTGCGATAGAGAGAGGGACAGCGAAAAACACAGAAACTAACGAAAACCCATTTTAAGTGATAAAAATACATGTTTTCGAACTATCTAAATAATACTAATGCTTTCATTACAATGCTTTCATCCCCGATAAATATGATAATGGCTTTTATCAGATTCCCATAATCAATCCCACTTTACGATGAACAGCAATCAAAGCCCTCGTAAAAATGCAATTACCCTATTATCTGATTACTTTACCCACATATACACGCAGAAGTCCCCAGGAAAATCAATAGTTACTATTTTCAGATGCCCAGGGAACGCGAGAAAAAATAGTTAGCCAACAGATACACACAGCAAATTTTCGCAGCCCCCACCAATACACAGGCAAAGCACAAAGGAACTACATAAAAGCGAATTTATTGATAAACTTACGTGTTGCAAGGTCTATTTCTCAATTACCGGATTATTGCACTATAGATTGGTTTGCTTTAGCAAGTTTGCTGCCTTAAGATGGCCGTCTGCGTGGAAATAATCAGCACCTTAAAAATTCCACACCGATCCGAGCGACGAAAAAAAATTCGAATGACGTATAAGGTATGAGGTAGAGGCGGGAAACCAACGATGAAAACATCGGGGCCATCGATATTTTCAAGAAATCTGTCATATCGATGTTTGACAGGGATTATCGATGCTTATTCATCTCTAACGATATTTTTTTAACCACTGTTAACTTCCCACACTCTTTTTCTGTTAGTTTGACGTTTTCTTAACATTTCTATGTTAGTTCAACGTTTTCCTTACACTTCTCTGTTAAAGTCGCGAAACTTACTCTCAAAAGCTAATTGCTGCAAAACTCAATGGCGCGACATTCAAATTACTAAGGTGATTGAGTTTGGATTTCTCAATGAAGTAAACAATGACGTTTTCCTAATCGCAAGAGTAAAGATCAATTACGAAAACCATTATTTGAATGACATCATTCGATTTTATTGAATTTGCATAAAACTGGCGACTCTGCGCCATTTGCAATGCATTTGCATCGGTTGATTTACATACAAAGGGATTAAACATATTAATTGTAAACGTTATAATAGGCAATAATCATATGTACTAGCAATAGTTGTTTTTGTGTGTTTAGCATTCGTATTACTGCTGGCTCTTGTGTAGTTAATTAATTAAGTACCACAGCGTAAAGTAGGCTCAACAAAATAATATGGGTGGCATATTTTTCTCTTTTGACCTTTCATATTTAACTCTCCTTTTTTTATGTTTTTGGTTTGTTTTGTGTCTTTGTTTCAAGTGCATGGATGCCACCAAATGGCCTAGGGATGTGGAGGGGATCAATTAAGGAGTGATATAGATCCACACACATTTCACATACATTTACATTTATAATCGTTTGGAGGTGCAGGCGACGAAGCATCCGCCTTTCACCACTCAACACACTCGTAGTTAACGTCATTATGCTACAGTTGCCGGTTTCGTGGACTAAGTTGCGCTATTATTAACAAAGTAACTAGAGAAAACACTAACCCACAATTCGGTGTGCTCACGAAATCGATAGAGGTTTTAAAAATTACCTTCGGCGCTGAACCGCTTGCAAACAGGACTAGGTGTCTAAAAGTATACAATACATTAGTTTTTTCTAAAACAAATTAAAGTTTCTAGAAATGTAATACAGTTTTGGGTTTGCTAGTAATCCAATTAAAGTCGCAGAAGTGACAGCACAGAGCTCTGGCTCTAAAACAAAATTTGTTTTAAAAAAGTGTAAATTTGTACATTACTTATAACTTCAATTTAAATCAAAACAGAACGGGACTAATACATTTAATTGCATATACTTTCAAAACCCCTACATAATGTCTCTAGAGATTTCGAGAACGCTCCGAAATAAGTTCGCATTGAATTTGTTTGGTTTTTGTGTGTGTCGGTTCTGGGATTTTTTTTTTTTGGGGTGTTGGGATCGGGATCGGGTAAGATTCGAGCTTCCTAGCCACCCACAACGTATTTACATGGCAGCCACTCGAAGCCAATCGAAGCCACTCGAAGCCACCTTGGCGCACCTAGTAGAAAAACAGCAGCCTTTCCTGGGCGGAGGCGGAGAGCAGGCGCCACGACCGCTTGATGCTCACGTACTGGATGAGAGCGCGTATGCTGATCAGGAAGCCGAAGGCACAGATCAGCCACCAAAGCCAGGAGTTCTCGTGCGAGGCCAAGTCCGTCGAGTGCTTAACGATCAGTGTCCATTTGGCCAGCGACAGGCCGAATCCGGACAGTGCGCCATACCGGGCGGCGATTGTGTGACAGAAACATGTGAGCATCAGGAAGCCGATCCAGTTGAACAGAAAGGCCACAATGAAGGCCGTGATGAACATGATGTCCGTGCCGAGCAAGTTGTCCGTGGTCGACAGGCTGTTTTCCGGATCGCTGGCATCGATGGCGATGAACGTAAGTGCCGGCTGAGCGGATCGCACGGCGGCGGCACCGTCGCGCAATGGATTTGGCGGCAGCAACGGATTCGGCGGCGGCGGCAGCTGCTGCGAGGTGGGCAAAGTCAAAAAGGCGGGCGGCAGCTCTCCGTTCAGCGACTTCTCCATCTGCACCTCCTCGTAGGTGGGCAGCTTGCCGTGAATCTCCGGCGGCAGTTGGGCAGTCAGCAAATCCGCCTGGCCCGGCAGCTGCACCTGCATCTGCATCGGGATCTGCACCTGCATCTGGCCGGGATCGGGTGTGGCCAGGGCCAGCGTTGGCATCTGGGCCGGCAGAGCCATCTGCTGGCCCTGGCCCACGTTCGCCTCGTACGGCGGAGGGGCACTGAAGTCAGCCTTTGGCGGTCCCAACTGATCGTCCCCGGGCGATGGCTGGTTGTTGTGCGGCATCACTGGAAATTGATAAGTAAGGAAATCGGTGAGTTTAAAACGTACAAACGTACAAAATATTAACTATTTTTCCTTTGACAACTAAATGTGAACTTAATCGAAACACTTGATCAAATGTTTTAATCAGCATCACTTCAATATAGCAATTATATATTTATATCAATATATCAACTAATATATAACATTAAAAATACAAAAACAAAATTTAAATTTGAATATACTTTTTAAAACTTTTTTCGAGAATTTATATTTTTTTATATCGCTTTTTGCATTTGTTCACCTTGTTCATATGGATTTAGATTCAGCTGCTTTATATTTTCATGCAACTCTGAAATATTAAAATAAGTGCATGCCGAACTTGTGTGCAAATTTGTTCATATCCAAAAAGAAAGTAAGCTTGTCGTTTAGTTTGGCTTTTATTAACGTTAATAGTTTACGCGTCGTTTAATAAAGTTAGGTGTATAATAAATAAATGGGCGGCTAGCTGCCAAAATTGCATTGCATTATATCTAGTTTTCTTTTTTTTTTCTCTCTCTGAGCAAACAGTTTTCGTTCGTTAATACTTGGTCTAAAGTGTTTGAAGGCACGTCATTAGGCACTTAGAGCTACAGCATTCCAGCAGCCATCTCGATTGGATGATTAAAAGAATAGTTTCGTTAAACAGTTGAATTAAAAAGTTGGACATGTTAGACATTCAAAAACAAATCAGCGGGCATGTTAGTTGCAGTGCCTGGGGCGATTGGAGGCCACTGCTTGCAGGTGGGCCTCCTCCAGCGATAGGATGCGGCAGGGGCCAAAGGGACGTCTCGCTGGGCGCAAGGGTCGCAAACCATCCACCTCGTCCATTCCCTCGTTCTGGCAGCCACCGTCCGTGGTGGTGGTGGTGGTGGTGCTGTCGTGCAGCTTCTGCTTCTGCAGCTTCTCGTGTCGCAGGTACAAGATCACACAGCACATGGCCATGAACAGGAGGGCCAGCGTGGCTCCGCTCACAATGCTGGCCTTTTCGAGCATCACCCGATTCCTGGTGGGCAGGTAGGAGCCATCTATTTCCTTGTACTCACACCTCGGGCCCATAAAACCCAAGGCACACTCACAGTTGTACAGGATTTCGTTGTGGATCTCCACCGTAAAGCAGGTGGCATCGTTCAGGCAATACCAGGCAGCATATGTGGGCGGACAGGCGTAGATCGGAAAGGTGACATTTGGCCGGGGAGTCGTGGATATCTCGACATTATCCGGCGGCAAGATCGGCGCAGCTGTTGGCCGCGGCTTGGCAATGGCACGCGAGGAGCAGGCGGCGGTTAGCGGCATACAAGCGCCGATTAAAGCGATGGCAAGCGGCAGGTCCTGGACTCGCATCTTGATCTTAACTCATGGCAGCTTTACTTGGGAATGTGACAGTGCAGTGCAGTGTGAGGTTGAGGTTGAGGTGTGTAAATGTGGAATTCTTGGCTTTGGCTGGCTGGCAGGCGCCTGCAAAACAAAAACGAAGTGCAATTAAAATCAACTCAAAAATGTAAACTCGTGTGTTCGGTTCTTGTGTGGGTTAATTTGCCTGCCTAGCACCGCCAGCCGCCTCCTTCTCACAATTACAACCTATGCTCCTCGACCTAAGTGAGAACGAGAAACGAGAAACGAGAATCAGAAAATCGAATTTCATAAATTTTTAACAAACAATGTCATCGTTTATTTACCTGGCTGGAATCGCGAGCGGAACCCAAGCGGCTGTTGTATTTGCACAGTTTGCATTCATTATTGAGTTTTTCTGGTTACACTCTCACTAAACATAACGTTCACTTCAATATATAACAACTGTTTATGTTACATATGTATTTAAAAATATAAAAATGTTAAATTTGTTGACTGAAAGAATAAACTAAGTATTCACGAGTTTTTAAATGACTCCGTAGGTAATCTTGTAGAGTATAGTTGTTTTCACCTTGGAAATGTATCATGATTCCTTTTGTTTAACTAAGTCGATTCAATCGAATGTAACTGATCCCCTTCTAATTAATAAACAAATACAAAGAATTTGATAACGCTCAGTTTAGATCAATAAAACCGATTTTTAGTATTTCTGCTGAAACAAACAATTATTTTTAAAGCTAAAATGCCGCCATTTGATTTGAGTGGGTATTGAAAATAAACAATACCGACCTTCGATGTACTAGCTTAGGTCATCAGTAAGTTGATAATATTAGAACATTAATCAAAAACACTATGCACCGATGCTTTCCATAATTAAATATCAACAGCTTCTCTTAGTTAAGTTATCAACTTCTTCTTAACCGTTCTAATCGAGCAAACGAATTGGAAGAAAATTAGTCTATCAATGTTAACTATGTTAACGATACTGTCTAACTTTAAGAAGTCAAGTCTATAGAATTAAACAATTTTATGTGTATATATTTTTTTTATTTTATTTACTATCAGTTAAGTTTTTGTGTTAACTTTAAAGGAAAAATGTTTTACACGTAAGGAAAATAAATTAAAACATTTTTCAAAATATAAAACAGTGAAAAAATAAATATAAAAATTGAGAATATTTGAATCATTAACCTTACTTTGTGAAATAAAATATTTAATTTAATGCGACTGGTTTTTTCATTACATGATGGTTATTTGTGCTTTCGTCACTAGTCAGAAATACAACCCACTGTGGAGTCCTTTAACTCATTAGCTCTATGAAAACTATCTTAGTGTCTTTTTTTTTTCCTTTACAACACATGCACACACCTACGTCTAAAAATAACAACAACAATGCGTACGAGTGAAAGTTGACGAGTGAAATAGCAGAAGAAGAGTAAGAGTGCAGAATAGATAGTCCGACAGACTCAAAACACAAATGCAATTAAGTTGACCTTTCGGTCAAATGAAATGAAAACTCAGCTGAACAGGCAAAAAAAAAAAAAATAGTTCAAGTCAATCAAGAGTGAGTGGGCCCAAGTTGTGCCTATTTTCTGCGCGTGTATGTGTTATTTTTCTTTTCGTTTTTATAAGGGTGTGTGGGTGAGCCGGACGTAAGCTTGAATAATGAGCTAATAGACGCCAACAAGCTAAATGAGCACCTGGGAACTTATCAAACAAAAGAGTGTACAGAATAAATATATTTAGGATGCAACAATAAATTTGATAAGCTTACATATAAAGCCGAATATCACAGTTTAACATGGACATTTAATCTACATATCGTTGGTGAGCAGATGTATTGTCCATATCGATTTCAAATAATTGAAATAGTATTTTGATCTGAGCATTTCGAGCTTAGAACCGACAACAAAAAGTCGAACAATATTGATAAGGTGAAGAATGAATGATTTCCACAAGTGTGGAACCCATGTGGATACTAGCTAGCAATAACAGTTACCTGCAGATGAGTCAGATGTGCGGGCATTTGAAATATTGCAAAATTGCACGACATCGAGATATTGTACACTGTACAGTCACTTTGCGCCTTTTGTTAAGTGTACTCTTGTGAACGTATACAAATATTAATTCTAGAGACATTTATTCAGCGCGACATCTTTTAAAACTAATACTTTATTTTATGACATTAAACTTTTAAAAGTACCAAAACTATTGATTTAAATACAATAAAGTATTTGAAACTTAGAGATCTCTAGTTTTCATAAAAGTGGGACTTCGCTAGGTTCGACTGTAACTTGGCATGTGTGTAAAAATAAAAAAGGAGAGGGAGTAGGGAGAAGTTGGGAGGGAGAAAGCAACAGGGCCGTGACAAAAGGCGTTGGAAATTAGCGAATTGCTGTGGAAAAGTAACAACGCAGTTTGGGCCTGGTTTGGGATTGGATTTCAGCCGGAGTTTGTTCGTTTCGTTGATAAGAAATTTGAGCGCGTGGACAGCTGCCAAGCAGCAGGTGTGCAAGAGGAAGGGAGAGAGGTAGAGTACTGGAATAGTTTAAGAAGTAAACCAGTTAAACGGGACCAGGAGCACAAAAGAGAAGCTGAAGATGCAAGCGGAAGGAGAAGAAGATGGAAGCCTACTGAATGGAAGGTCTCTCAAGGGGCAATTTCCTGGATTGAATGAAAAAATACAAACACCTACAACTGCATTGGTATTGCAATGGAATAGAGACAGAATAAAAGAGGGGCGGAGAGCGAGAAGCGAAGAATAAATGCGAGAACAAGTTTTCAAGCAAACGGCGCTTGTTGTTATTGTACAAGGGCAAATGAATTAATTTACTTGTGTAAATATGAATTAAATAAACAAGTACACCGACACACGGCCAAACTTATCAGAGTGTTCACTTTTTTTAGCACCTGAGTGGCGAAATCCCAGCAGACTTAAGATTATTAATTTGCTAAACAAAACATAAACACATGTACACACACACACGCACGGTGGGGGAGAGAAAGGGAGGTGGAGAAAGCCTTGGCTCTCCTGGAGCGCTCCTTTAACCGTTATTTGTTTCCCTTTCTCCGGTTCACCCTTTCTATTTCTGTGCTCGATTTAAATTCGATTTGATTCTGTTTCGTCTTTTCTGTGCCATGTTCTATTTATTCACCTTGTTTTCTTCTATGCGTTGGTCGATTGCGTTCGCTTTTATTTTCTCTTTTGCGCAGCGCTCTCTCACGTTTCCGTTTTATTGATTTGTTCGAAACTTTGTTTCTGCCAAACACGCACACAGCTAATACTGTTGTTTTTTTGGCTGCACAGCGACCAGTCGACGTCAGCGATATGTTTTCGAGTGCTTCACTGTATGCAATTAAACTAATTTAAAACTGGGCTCACTTCGCGAGCGAAGCAAAAAAACAAATGCACCACCAGAAATAAATTTTCGATTTCTGAGCTAGTGGTGGCCAGCTGCACAGCAGTCTGTATCGATAGAAGGGATGGGAGAGTGAGAAGTACAAACTTCTTTATATGATATATTTCATGTAAAAACCAGTGTTGCCTTTCTTAATTTTAGTAGAAATGGCAACTGAGATTCAGATTATTATTTATTTATTCGCATCAAAAATAAACACGGCACCGAATCGAACCGATAACACGTATCGATAAATCGTATGCACATCTCTCCATGCCTTATCTCCCACCACTAAGCTAAGAAAATTTTGTAAACAACGACGTGGACGTAGTAAATTGAATTAGATTTTTAGCCTAAAGATGCGGCAATTGGTACTCTTCTTTCTGCTGTCCTTAAGTGTGAGTTAGAGACGTATTTAAAAAACATGAGAAACATTTATTATTTAATTTTCATCCTTTGTAGTGTCAGCAAATCCATGCCGAGTTGACGGCCGCCGATTGCCGGGAGCTGGGATTTATTAAAGCTCAATTAATGTGTTCCAGCTGTGAAAAACTATTAGATGATTTTGGCTTGGATACCATCAAGTAAATATAATAAGATACATTCTTTGTTGAGGATTATAAAAAGACTTTAATACTCAGAAATGCAGTTAAAATTGACCATCAGAGCGAATTACTAAAACTTCCCTAAAACTGTCTAATTAATTATGTACTGTTCCAGATAGGGTATATTAAAACAAACTAACTTTGGCCACTATATCCCATTTTAATCATCTAGAAATAACTACCGTATATAGAGCAATGTTATATAAAACTTGCACCTCCAAAGTTAAGATTCTTTCTTAAAAACATTTATCTTTACTCCCAGACCCCATTGCAAGCAATGCTGCACTTTGGATCAACAGCCGGCGGTCCAGCGAACTTATGCAAAGGCCATTCTGGAGGTGTGCACCTGCAAATTCCGAGCCTACCCGCAGATACAGGCCTTCATCCAAAGCGGCCGGCCCGCCAAGTTCCCCAACCTGCAGATCAAATACGTAAGGGGCTTGGATCCCGTCGTGAAGCTCCTAGATGCCAGTGGCAAAGTTCAGGAGACGCTGTCCATCACCAAATGGAACACTGATACCGTAGAGGAGTTCTTCGAGACGCATCTGGCCAAAGATGGTGCTGGCAAGAGTTCCTACAGTGTGGTGGAGGATGTTGACGGAGACGACGAAGAGGATTATCTGCGCACCAATAGGATCTGAAATTAGCATTCCCTAAACTGTAGATTAATAAATTTAGCAGATATTCAATAACTCGAACCTCATCACTCACATACAAAGTTCGAGTTAAAGAAAGCCAAGGATAAAAGATATCAAGTCTTTTATTTGTTTAGTTATTTACATTCATGAAAATGAAACTATAGTTTTGGGATAGATTGAAATTGTATTATCTCTCTAACTAATGTTTAGTGTAACGTTATAAAAATTATTTTTCTAACTGAATATTGAGTATAACTTGTAAAGCAGTGGATTTCAAATGAATTTCTTCAAGATTGAATGAAAAATATAAGAATATTCATTATGACATCTCGTTTTTCCCTATTGTATAAGTTTTGAGGTTTTTTTTTAATATTATCAACATAAATTGAGTTTCAAAAACGAAGATTATCAAGGTTTGTAAACTAAAACTTTTATTTGAAGGGTTCGTCTATATCAGCAGTTTTAGAGATACTGCCAAATACCGAGGTGAAACATATGTTTTAAAGCTTTTTTGCGCGCCACTGGGAAAAGCTGTCAAAACAGTTTGAAAGCCAGTTTCGGTTACTACTGCAATGCGACGCCATGGGAGTTCTTGATTTATAAATATAAGTTAAGCCATTCTGTGTTATCTGTTATCGATGGGAAAGGAATGTTCCCGACCGAGGCAACAATGTTTGGGCATTGTGACCGGAATTTTAATCGAAGTCATCACGGAGGTACTTCCCCCTGGCAAAACAACCCTTTGGGACCGCCAGCAGTGACGTAGTGGCCTCACATGGTCGGGGGTCTTCAAGTCGATCAATATTTGATCAGCCTGTTAGAGTAATTGTGGTAACTGAAACTGCAAATAGCATATTTATGCCCGCCAAAATCGTAGCTGATGTCTATTTCCGATGTGTGACGCAGCCTTGACTTCGCTCTCTTTCCGCTCTCTTTTCGCTCTCTTAGCCTTTTCTTTATCCGGATATTGCGCATGTGCAAACAGTACCAACATTTATTTTAAAGTAAGATCAGTTTTAAAAACATTCATTTTTTCATTTCTTATCTTTATAAATTTGATCAATGCCTTTTTGAGTTAATGAAAATCGCAATGGAAGCAAATCACATCGAGGCCAGATGCATTTTAAAAATAAATGTTTTTAATGCTTAAAAAGCTTTGAATTTATATTCATATGTATTTTTCCCGATAAAAACTATCAAAAGTCATTAGAATAATTAATAGTTTAAGAAAATATCTATTTAAGACAAAAGTATACAAGAGTATATGGTTTCGTAACTGACCTGCAAATCACAATTGTTAAATACGCAATTTTTATGGGCTTACTAAATACATATATTATAATAATATAATTATTAAAAGAAATTCCAAAGATATTTGTGCAAGTAATAAATTTAAACTATATGGTTTTTCTACAACTGATAACAGCATCGAAAAATGAAGAAAAGCAAATGAAAGAAAAGCAAATGAATTTGTTTATAAACTCGTTGCACTATCGCCTGTTTACGTTTCATTACAATGCATATTTATATTAGTATTTCTTATTTGCTGTCCTTGCTGTTTACTGGTATAATTAAAGTTGCCGTTTTACCGTGGTACAAAGGGGTCGAAAATGTTGTTTTGCTATTTCGGAGCTTTGGAACTACTGTGATGGACCCTTCATCGACATTGCCCATAAGTGCAACCAACCATTGAATACATGTGCCAATACAATCCAAAACAATCTCTAACGTCAATGGTGGGTCCTTCTGATGCGTATGGTTTATTTTTAGCCGCTGCTATCACACGCAGACCCCATCGTACGGATGTATATAAAATATAAATATATACATATACTGGGACAATGCACTTAATATACGCACTTGAGGCACGTGCCTCGCCCAATTTGACTAAACAACAAATAAGCAATTCAAAGGGTTCAGGAATAATTTGTTAGGAGTACTGATAAGAAATTTCGAGATTGATTACAGATTTTTAGATACATTAAAAAAAAAAAAAGGTAAAAGCGGTTAAAGTCTTTACATCTTACTTTTGGAAGTAAGTAAGTATACGTCTTTTATTAATTTAATTTGGAAGTAGTCCCCCAAATAGGTAATGTTAAAAAACCAAATAAAGGGCTACAGACGTGTATGCAAAAATAAGCATTTGCTGCTTTGCATAGTGTTATCAATCAATGGCGAGGCGCTGTAATCAATACTAATTATTTGCTATTATGATAACTCTTGCGCACGCACACACACACACAGCGAGATATGCATTACAATTGAAATCCGAGAATCTCTTGCGTTCTTATCAATTGTGTGCCATATAAGCAACTGGGTGCATTCAACTGTCCTGTGTTGCAAAAACTACGATATATATGTAGCCCATACAGTTGCTTTCCAAGCAATTAGAATAAGTAAAGTTTAAAACATAAAAAACAGCACAACATTGAAATAACTTTAAAACAACTTTCACAGTAAACGTTCTAACAAAATGTGGACGTTTCAGCAAGTTAAAAGCTGAAGGTCTAAGTCTATTATAAGAAAATAGGAGTTTTTTCTCAGTTGATTTCATTTACTATAATTTGTTAACTTTAGTGAACTTTTTTATAACGAAAAGTAGCAAAGTGCACAAGTTATTTTCTTAATTAAGAGATTTTTGGCACTTTAACCTCTTCGTTTGGCTTACCATGAAAATGAGAAAACGAGAATGTAGGTTCTTAAATTTAGTATGATTTTTTCTGTTGCTTGGAGTACTTAACGGGCTATTGCTCCCTATGCTATTTAATTACTATTTATTTGACCGCTGCTGTTTGTAAGAATGTCGAATAGAGCCAGCTGGCTGTAGCAATAGCATTAGCAATATCGCAATAGCAATGGCAATGTCCCCAAAAGGCCCCCTGAGGAGTTGAAAGAGATTGAAGCATGGACGGGGCTGAATAATGTCGGCCGATTCTGGGTATGGATTGGGGACTGCGACTGGAATCTGTTGTTGTTGCTCTCGTGCGAGTGCCAACGCTGATAACATTTGCGCCTTTCGAGTGGCTTGGGGGTGATAACGATAATGACGTTATCGTCACAGCGTCATCGATTCCAGCTAACTCACACTTGCAGATTTAATTTCATGCCATTTTAACACTTAATTAAGGTCTAACATGAACACAAAATAGCAAATAACAATAAACAACTGGCTATCTCGCCTTAACGTTTTCCGTTCGATTTTCGCGCTTTTAGTGACTACAGTCGTACCCCCAGAAGATGTTTGGGGCCGCTCCAACCTCTGTTAACATTATAATTAAACAGACGAGTGTGAAAAGTAAACATAAACAGCAATAAAAACCAGCCGAAAACATTTCAATTAAAATGCTTCGATTTTTAGCTATAATGTTGATTTTGGGCTAAGAGGCTTGACTGTATTGGCGGTATGTTTTTGGTTTACTACATGTGGGGCTTGCCCTTTACCGTTATGCCGCTGATATCAGCTCTCCCACGCAAGCTCTGTCTATTCCACTCAATCTACACTCTCTCTTAACAGAGAAAAAAATCATCTTAGATTTTAAAATACATCTATATATAATTGTTCTTACATAATTGGCTAGTAAAATAAGTTTTCTTGGTTGTTTACAAATTTATGAAATATTA